TCTTCCAGTCAGTTGGCTAGGTAGCTGTCTTCCACATTTCTTGGCATAGATGAGTAAGTGCCTCCAGTGCAGCATTTGTTTGTTGAAACATCTCAATGGGTATTCCTTCAATTCTTAGAGCCTTGTTTTTTGCTAGTTCCTTCAGTGCAGCTTAGACTTCTTCCTTCAATACTACTGGTTCTTGATCATGTGCCACCTCCTGAAATAGATGAACATCGACCACTTCTTTTTGGTACAGTGATTCTCTGTATTCCTTCCATTTTCTTTTGATGCTTCCTGGATCATTTAATATTTTGCCCATAGAAGCTTTCAGTATTGCAACTTGAGGCTTGAATTCCAAGTCTTCGCACATTTCATTCTAATGCATTGTCTTCTCGAGCTACTATTTAAACTCTTCCATCAGCTCATTTATCCTGTCATTTCTTCCATTTGCTTTAACTGCTGCTAGGTGCCATCGAGTTGTCTCCGACTCATAGCAACACTGTGCACAGCAGAACAAAACACTGCCCAGCCCCGCGCCAGCTCCACAATCATTGCTATACTTGAGCCCATCTCCGCAGCCACTGTGTCAGTCCATCTCATTGAGGGCCTTTCCCTCTTTCCTCGGCCCTCTACCTTACCAAGCACAACATTCTTCTCCAGAGAATGGTCCCTTCTGACAACATGACCAAAGTAGGTGAGACAAAGGCTGGCCATTCTTCCTTCCAAGAAGCATTCCAGCTGTACTTCTTCCAGGACAGATTTGTTAGTTCTTATAGCAGTCTGTGGTACTTTCAGCATTCTTCACCAGCACCACAACTCAAAAGCATCCACTCTTCTTTGGTCTTCTTATTCATTGTCCAGCTCTCACATGCATATGAGGCAATTGAAAATAGCACGGCTTGTGTCAGGTGCACCTTAGTCTTCAAGGAGATATCTTGGCTCTTCTGCACTTGAAAGAGGTCCTTTGCAGCTGATTTGCCCAGTGCTGTATGTCGTCTGATGTCTTGACTGCTACTTCCATTGGCGTCAATTGTAGAACCAAGCAATATGGATTCTTTGGCAACTTCAGTCTTTTCTCCATTTATCGTGATGGTGCTTATAGGTCCAGGTCTGAGGATTTTTGTTTTTCTTATGTTGAGGTGTAATCCATACTGCAGACTGTAGTCTTTAATCCTCAAGTCTTCCTCACTTTCAGCAAGTGCTTCAAGTCATCCTCACTTTCAGCAAGCAATGTTGTGTTGTCAGCATATCACAGGTTGTTAATGATTCTTCCTACAATCCTGATGCCACATTCTTCTTCATAATAGTCCAGCTTCTTGGATTATTTGCTCAGCATACAGACTGAATAAGTATGGTGAAAGGATACAACCTGACACACACACCCTTCTTGATTTTTAACCATGCAGTATTGCCTTGTTCTGTTCAAATGACAGCCTCCTGGTCTATGTACAGGTTCCTCATGAATACAGTCAAGTGTTCTGGAATTCCCATGTTATCCGTTATTCATTGTGTTCCACACAATCGAATGCTTTTGCATAGTCCATAAAACACAAGTAAACATCTTTCTGGTATTCTTTACTTTCAGCCATCTTACATCAGCAATGTTGTACCTCGTTCCATGTCCTCTTTTGAATCCAGCTTGCATTTTTGGAAGTTCTCTGTCAATACTGCTGCAACTGTTTTTTTAATTATCTTCAGTTAAGATTTTACTTGTGTGCGATATTAATGATACGGTTCGATAATTTCCACATTCTGTAGGATCACCTTTCTTTGGAATAGGTACAAATATGGATCTCTTCCAGGCCAGGTAGTTGTCTTCCACATTTCTTGGCATAGATGAATAAGTGCCTCCAGCGCAACATCTGTTTGTTGAAACATCTCAATGGGTATTCCTTCAATTCCTGGAGCCTTGTTTTTGCTGTTTTGGTGCAGCTTAGACTTCTTTCTTCAGTACCGTTGTTTCTTGTTCCGATGCCACTTCCTGAAATGGATGAACATCAACCAGTTCTTTTTGGTACAGTGACTCTGTTTATTCCCTCCATCTTCTTTTGATCGTTCTGCATCATTCAATATTTTGCCCATAGAATCTTTCAATATTGCAACTCGAGGCTTGAATTTTTTCTTCAGTTCTTTCAGCATGATAAGTGCCACACATGTTCTTCTCTTTTTGTTTTCTAACTACAGGTCTTTGCACATTTCATTATAGTAATTGGCTTTGTCTTCTCAAACTGCTCTTTGAAATCTTCTGTTCAGCTCTTTTATCTGGTCATTTCTTCCATTTGCTTTAGCTATTCTCTGTTAAGGGCAAGTTTCAGAGTCTCTTCTGACATCCATTTTTGTCTTTTCTTCTTTTCCTGTCTTTTTAATAACCTTTTGTTTTCTTCATGTATGATGTTCTTGATGTCATCCCACAATTTATCTGGTTTTTAGTCATTGGTGTTCAATGCATCAAATCTGTTCTTCACATGGTCTCTAAATTCAAGGTCATATTTTGGCTCTCATGGAATTGTTTTATTTGTCTTCAGCTTCAATTTGAACTTGCCTATGATTAGTTGATGGTCTGTTCTGCACTCAGTTCCTGGCCTTGTTTTGTCTGAAGATATTGAGCTTCTACATGGTTTCTTTGCACAGATGTAGTTGATCTGGTTCCTGTGCATTCCACCTGGCAAAGTCCATAAATATAGCCACTGTTTATGCTGTTGACAAAATGTATTTGTAGTGAATAAGTCATTGGTCTGCCATATTCTATCATGTAATCTCTGAAGTCATTTCTATCACCAAGACCTTATTTTCTAGCTACCGGTGATTCTTTGTTTCTGACTTTCACTTTCCAATCTCCAGCAATAATCGATACATCTTGATTGCGTGTTTCGCCAATTTCAGACTGCAGAAGTTGCTAAAAATCTTCAATTTCCGAATCTTTGGCTTTAGTGGTTGGTGTGTAAATTTGAACAATATTAATATTAACTGGTCTTCCTTATAGTCGTATGGATGTTATCCTATCACTAACGGCATTGTACTTCAGGATAGATCTTGAGACATTCTTTGAACAATGAATGGCTGCCACTCCTCTTCAATTTGTCATTCCCAGCATAGAAGATCATATGATTGTCTGATTCAAAATGGCCCAAACAAGTCCATTTCAACTCACTAATGCCTGGGATATCAATCTTTATGTGTTCCAATTCATTTTTGACCATTTCCAATTTTCCTAGATTCATACTTCATACATTCCATTAATGGATGTTGCCCTATCAGCAAATGTAGGTTCCAAAAACTTTACTCCATTTACATCATTAAGGTTGACTCTACTTTGAGGAGGCAGTTCTTCCCCAGTTGTATTTTCAGTGCCTTCCAACCTGAGGATTTATCATCAAGCATTGTATCAGACAGTGTTTCATTGTTATTCATAGATTTTCACTGGCCAGTTCTTTGAGAAGTGGATGGCCCCTCCATTCTTCTTAGTCTATCTTAGTCTGGAAGCTCCACTGAAATCTGTCCACCATGGGTGACCCTGCTGGTATTTGAACTATTGGTGTCATGGCCTCCAGCTTCACAACAATGCACAAGTCACCACAGTACGATAAACTGACAGGCAAGTGGTGAGAATGAAGTGGAAGTAGTGTTTAATTAGGATTTAGATACGTAAGATGGAATTAATGACCTTCCTGACCAGGGTGGTCCAATATAAGAAAGTAAAAAAATGACATGTTTATCAGGAATAGCAAATAGTTTGACTAAATCCACGTGGAAGATTGAAGTGAGTAATAAAATTGGAGAAGAAAAGAGTTCAAATTAAAAAGTAAAGACTTTCATCTTTTTTTTTTTTTTTTTTTGATAGAAAATGGAAAGCTTTTTAATCAAGGGAAGAATGGCCAAAGCTAGGCCTCGCAAAACTACATCCATTAGTAATGTGCAGGGTCTGTGAGGATAATAGGTTAGAATTGGCTGGTAATTCTACTGTTATGTTTGTTTGAGGTATGATAATAAAGTCATATTACCTTTTTTATAATAGAAAGTCTCTTAACTTCCTCTTCAGACAGAACCTCACCCCTTACAACAAGAACAATTATTTCCATATTGTTGCCACTACTCTAGATATTGTTTTAAATACTTTTGAAATTGCTTTCAGAACCCATGTAATATTCTCTTACATGTAGTTTATGGTGGTAAATACTAATATTTTTATTTCATCACAGCTGCTGTCTTAAGAATGGCTAATTCACTTTGAAATAACTGCTTTTGCAAATTCAAACATGTTGCTTCTCCTTCCCTGGTGTAAATAATGCCTTGCGTCCTGGACCTGTGCAAAACTTTATTAATACTATTTAGCTTTATTTTTTAAAATATGTAGTTACCTCTGTGCAGTTTATATATAAGCAATCCCCAGGTTATGAAGTCTGACTTAGGGACAGCTCCTACTTGCCTTTTAACGTTATATAAATTTGCTCTCACATTGAAACAATTGAACCAACCCCTATTCCTAGTCACAACAAATTCTTCATTCCAGTCACCTTCATTTGCTGCACATGCAGCTTTTCAATAATTGAAAAGGCTTTGAGCATTTTCTTGCACTGAAGGAAGGCTAAATAAGAACCACATGCACCTGTTTTGACTTAACTATAAATTTGACTTAAAGACACACTTAGGAACAGATCGCATTCATAACCTGGGGACTGCCTGTACCTGTTTTTATTAATACATGTTTTATTCCCACATTATAAACCTGGGAACAGTTTGAATACATTTAAAATAATAATCTGAGTTGTATCTAATATTGATATTAAATGTATATATAGTCATAAGATTAATTTGACATTCAGGAGGTAAAAATAGTGAAAAGAGCAAAATAAGTAACTCTTTCCACATAATTCCAGGTTTATTCCTAAACCTCCGAAGAGAAAGTCTGTACTCTGTTCACAGAAATAGTAATACTTTGATCACCTTTAAATTTTAACTAGAATTTTTAAAAAATACAGTGATTAAGGAAAATATGTGGACATGATTTTCTCTTTAAGGAAAAAGAACGGTTGAAGCAAGAAAAACGTGATGAGAAGAGATTAAATAAGGAACGCAAGTTAGAGCAAAGAAGATTAGAATTAGAAATAGCAAAGGAACTAAAGAAGCCTAATGAAGATATGTGTTTAGCAGACCAAAAGGTAATCTATATATCATGTGAACCATTTCATTAAAAACTTTTAATTTTCCTTGTGATGTCACCTGATTCCTTTACCAGAGCTACCATTATGAAAGTTTTTCATTTTTAATAAGAGCAGTGGATTTCGAAGTCTTGGTCAGTTTGCCTCACCTAAGTGGCCACCATAGGAGCTCTGGTTGCATAGTACCTAAGGCATTTGACCACTAACCAGAAGGCTGGTGGTTCAAGCCCACCAGCCACTCCTCAGAAGGAAGATTGGGCAATCTACTTCCGTAGTGATGCTGCCTCGGAAACCCAACGAGGGGTTGCTATGAGTCTCATCCAACTTGATGGCAGTGAATTTGTTATTTTTGGTTTTAGGTGGCCACCAGTTAACCTCTCTAGAGTTCCTGTACTGAGAATGGCAGTTCTTAATATAGAAGTAGAGCACTAACAAACTTTCTAATTTGATTAGAGATGCTACGAAAATCTACAAAGAAGAATTACAGATATAGATAGTCTATCCATGTCTCATTTTGTTCATACAGGACTTCAGGCTCAGAAAGATCAACGTCCCCATCACCCCCACCCCTTGAATACTTGAATAAATTAGGGTTTATAATCTATAGCCTCATTCAATTTTTTGCTCATAGTAACCAACCTTTTTTGAGCATGTTTACTACATGCTGGGCACTATGCTAAGTGCTTTATATGGATTCTCTCATTAAATCTTTACCACATTCCTGTGAAGTTGGTTGTTGTTGTTGTTATGTGCTGTGGAGTCGGACCTGACTCATAGCGACCCCTCCTGGGGTGAGGCAGTATCACTACAGAAGTAGATTGCCCACCCTTCCTTCCGAGGAGTGGCTGGTGGGTTTGAACCACCAGCCTTCTGGTTAGCAGTCAAGTGCCTTAGGCACTATGCTACCAGAGCTCCTTGTGAAGTTGGTATTTATCCTCATTTATAGATAAGAAACTTGAGACCCAGAGAGGTTAAGGAGATTATTATGATTACACACCTAATAATTGGCAATTTAGATCCAAGCTCCTGTTTGTTAGACTCCAGAATCCATACTGTTTATCATCCTGAAAATGAAGAGATTATGTACAACTAAAGCTCTTGTGTGTTTTCTCTTCCATAGTTCTTCATATAAGGTTGCTAAAGTACACAAGAGTGGACTTTTAGAAAGATCAAAATAATCTTGGCAACCAGCATGATTTCACCTACTTTGAGTAAAAATCGATTATTTTGACCATATTTAAGAAGATGATACTTCTAGGAAATTATATTAACACATATCATCTCTATTAAACTATTACAATAACTTATTCTTGGTCAGTAGCTTGTATATTTACTTATATATCATATTTACTTATATACCTCAGATGAAAATAATGATTATCCCTTGATTTTATATAAGCTGTTTTCTAAGGTGATTAAAGCAGACTTTTAATACTCTTGTTATTGTTGTTGTTATTTGCCATTGAGTTGGACCCGACTCATAGCGACCCCGCCGTGGGTTTCCGAGGCAGTATCACTACAGAAGTAGATTGCCCAACCTTCCTTCTGAGGAGTGTAGTAAAGACTAAATTATATCAATATTCCATTGAATTAGCATAAATGCTTTTAAATAAAAATGAAGATATGCTTACTAGTTTTAGTCATCTGGGTGTTTAAAATTTCTTAAGTACATTATAACTACAGGCAATCCCCAGATTATGATATAATCTGTCTCTAAGTCAAATATGTACATAAATGAACACAAGTATAGTTCCTATCTAACATCAAGTTAGTCAAGTATTTGTCTTAATATTTAGTATTTGGAATAAAATACTTTAAAGAGATACTACCAGATACACTAAAACGTTTTTAGCATAGTAATACAATAATAATGATGATGATGATGTTTTAATACATGTCACAAAGTAGTGCCCCATTTGTTATTACAAACCATTGTATGTGCCCCAAATTTTTAGTATAATAGTGTTTACAGGTGTTGGTTAGTAACTATGGGTGTATGTAAGTCAGATGTTTTTAACCCAGGGACTGTTTATATATAGGTTAATACATTTAACAAGCTCATAGTGAGCAAATTTTTAAAAACACTAAGTAAGCTCTATTTTCTTACTTTTATTTTTATTTAAATCTCATATATTGTAAAAATATAAATATCAACTATTTAAGTTCATCTTAAGCCATGCTTTTCTCATATAAATTGTTAGAATTGAATGGAAATGTATGTATCTGATATCATAGTACATGGAAAAAGAAAATGCACATTTACCTGTTTTTCCAGTGAAACATAAAATATTTGTATGGTATCACCTATTACACATAATTCCATGTTCCACACAATATTAGTAGAAAAAGGCTTTGAATGGTTATTTCAGTAATTGCAGGATTGAGGAACATTCTTGAACAAGGACTAATTCATATAAATAGAAATATGTACAAGTCCTATTTTTTTTTTTTTAGTTAAAATGTAAAGTAGTTTTATTGAGTCTTATCTGTGGTCAAAACTAAGTTTAATTTAGATTACCTGTTTATTGTATTTGTAAAGTGTCTGCGGCAGACAAACTACTACTACAGTCTGGTTATTGAAATGTTAATATGTGAACATATTTGAAAAGTGAACATATTTGAAAAGTTAATAAGTGAACATATTTGAACAGAGGTAGCTCTTTTTATATTTAATATTGAAACCCAATGTTAATGTTTCACTAAATAAAAGAAAACCTAAAGACTGTGGGTTGCATTATAACTGGTTCATGTTCAGGATCATAGGCTCTGATTATGTAGGCCTAGTAATATATCCGCATTCATTAGCCACATTATCTCCAACTGTACAGCCCACAGATGTGTGTTAGTTTCTGAGCTGTGAAAAAGGTGTGAATTATAAATCAGTCTACATCATTAGAAGAGAACAGTGCACATACCCTACTAAGTATGTCCGTGGTAAATTAGTGTTGAAATGTTTATTTCTTCTATGTAATTTAACTTTTGCTTCAGTTACTTAATCTTTGTTTTATCAATATGTCAGTTAATTAAAATTAGTATTCTCTTTTGCAGAGATCTAAATTCATATTGAGTTCATCCAAAATTTTTAATAGTTATTTGTGTTCAAGACCCTATGCTCAATACTATGGGGGGTTGCAGAAATGTCTCCAGGGAATTTACCGTCCAGAGGGAAAGCCACTGGTATAAGAGAAAGAAAGATAGCGCTTATTTTAATTCAGACAATCATGGACCTTTAAATTTTTAAAATTTATTTTTATGTTTTGTTTCCAGCCTTTGCCAGAGTTGCCTCGTATTCCAGGACTTGTTCTCTCTGGAAGTACATTTTCAGACTGTCTCATGGTGGTGCAGTTCTTACGAAACTTTGGTAAAGTTTTGGGCTTTGATGTGAATATTGATGTTCCAAACCTCAGTGTTCTTCAAGAGGGATTGCTAAATATAGGGGACAGCATGGGTGAAGTACAAGACTTGCTTGTGAGGCTCCTCTCAGCTGCTGTATGTGATCCAGGTCTAATTACAGGATACAAGGTAAAAAAAACAAATATTTAAAAAAAAAAACAAAACAACTTAACATACTTACTGTCAGTGCATTGATAGCTAGCTTTAGAATATTAGCAAAAGACTGTGTAGACTGATCCAATTATTTCCACATAATGTCTCACAAAGTTAAATGTGGATTTCCTTCTGCTTACATTTGATACAGACCTAGGAAAACCAATTTATAAAACCTAAGGAACATGGGCTATACCCAAGAACTTCTTAACTTTAGGCAAAGGCCTAATCGGTTTGAGGAAATACTCATGTGGTATTCAACAAAACCAGAGAACTCATAATTCATAAAACAATTAGAAATTCCTTGTGCCTTTTGATATTATACTTTGTTCTCTGAATCACTGTTATTAACTGGGGCTAATCAAGGCACTGAAGCTGAAGAAAATTCAAACAAGTTCACAAGAGCCAAAATACAACCTTGATTATATCTCACCTGAACTTAGAGACCATTTGAAGAATAGATTTCACACATTATATCCAATAACTAACAACCAGACAACTTGTGGGATGACATCAAGAACATCATACTTAAAGAAAACAGAAGGTCGTTAAAAAGATAGGAAAGGAAGAAAAGACTAAAATGGGTGTCAGAGGACACTCTGAACCTTGCTCTTGAGTGGAGAGTACCTACAGCAAATGGAATAAATGATGAGATAAAAGAGCTGAACAGAAGATTTCAATGAGTAGCCCAAGAAGACAATGTAAAGTACTATAATGAAATGTGCGAAGAACTGGAATTAGAAAACCAAAAAGGAAGAACTCGCTCAGCATTTCTCAAGCTGAAAGAAGTGAAGGAAAAATTCAAGCCTTGAGTTGCAATATTGAAATATTCTAAGGGCAAGATATTAAACAATGGAGGAAGCATGAAAAGAAGATGGAAGAAATACACAGTAGTCACTGTACCAAAAAGAAATGTCAGCATTCATCCATTTCAGGAGGTGACATATGATCAAGAACCAGTGGTATTGAAGGAAGACGTCCAAGCTGCACTGAAGGAATTGGTGAAAAACAAGGCTTCAGGAATTGATGAAATACCCACTGAGATGTTTCAACAAACAGATGCAACACTGGAGAAGCACACTCATTTATGCCAGAAAATTTTGGAAGACAGCTGCTTCTGCTTTCTTCATGTATGATATTCTTGATGTCATCCCGCATGTCATCTGGTCATTAGTTATTGCATATAATGTGTGAAATCTATTCTTCAGATGGTCTCTAAATTCAGGTGAGATATAATCAAGGTTGTGTTTTGGCTCTTGTAAACTTATTTTAATTTTCTTCAGCTTCAGTGCCTTGATTAGCTCCAGTTAATCATAGTGATTAACCAACTGGAAGAGACCCAAATTTATGCCCATTCCAAAGAAAGGTGAGCCAAGAGAATGTGGAAATTATCAAACAATATCATTACTGTCACACACAAGTAAAATTTTGCTGAAGATAATTCAAAAATGATTGCAGCAGTATATTGATAAGGAACTGCCGTAAATTCAAGCTGGATTGGAAAGAGGGAACAGGGGATATCATTGCTGATGTCAGATGATTCTTGGCTAAAAGCAAAGAATTCTTGTGTTTTATTGACTGTGAAAAGGCATTCATCTGTATGGATCATAACAAGTTATAGATAACATTGCAAAGAATGGGAATTCCAGAACACTTAATTGTGTTCATGAGGAATCTGTACATAGACCAAGAGGCAGTTTTTTAACAGAACAAGGGGATACTGACTGGTTTAAAATCCAGAAAAGTGTGCATCATGGTTGTATCCTTTCACCATACTTATTCAATCTATAGGTTGAGCAAATAACCCAAGAAACTGGACTGTATGAAGAAGATCACAACATCAGAATTAGAGGAAGACTCATTAACAACCTGCAATATGCAGATGGCACACCCTTGCTTGCTGAAAGTGAAGACTTGAAGTACTTACTAGTGAAGATCAGGGACTACAACCTTCAGTATGGATTACATCTCAACATAAAACAAAAATCCTCATAACTGGACCAATAAGCAACATCACGATAAATGGAGAAAAGACTGAAGTTGTCAGAGATTTCATTTTACTTGAATCCACAATCAGCGTCCATGGAAACAGCAGTCAAGAATCAGTTGGTGTATTGTACTGGGCAAATCTGCTGCAAAAGACCTCTCTGAAGTGTTAAAGAGCAAATATGTCACTTTGAAGACAAAGGTGGTGCCTGATCTAAGACCTGGTATTTTCAGTCGCCTCATATGCATATGAAAGCTGGACAGTAATAAGGAAGACAAAAGAACAATTGATGCATTTGAATTGTGACATTTGGGAAGAATAAGGAAAATATCATGGGCTGTCAGAAGGATGAACAAACCTGTCTTGGAAGGAACACATTCAGAATGCTCCTTAGAAGCAAGAATGGCCAGACCATCTCACATCCTTTGGTCATGTTGTCAGAAGGGACCAGTCCCTGGAGAATGATATCATGCTCAGTAAAGTAGAGAGTCAGTGATAAAGGGGAAGAGCCTGAGTGAGATGGATTGATATAGTGGCTGTGATAATGGGCTCAAGCATAGCAAATATTGTGAGGATGGCACAGGACTGGGCAGTGTTTGGCTCTTTTGTACATAGTGTTGCTATGAGTTGGAGCAAACTCAGTGGCACTTAACAGCAATCAAGTCACCTACAAACCAGCACATTAGACTCTGTATTGCTCAGTGGATGCTCCATAAATTCAGATTTATCTTAATTCCTATTAACATACATATTCCAGTCAGCTTTGCTCTAGATAATATTGTAGAGAAAAAAGCTTGTAGGTGCACCTGTATTGGACCAGCCAATGAAATCCATGACACCATAAAGTCAGAAAACACAACATCAATAGTAGTGCATTTTAACTTCATGACCTTGGGGAAAATTTCTGTTGTCAGAAAAGTTGGGATAGATGATTTATAACTTCTGCTACACATGAGTATACTTACTCTTTTGCTGCCTGACTTTTAACCAAGGTTATAAAGAAGAAACCAAAAGATAAATGTATTTGAGTACTTTTCTACCACTTGTTACCTGTTTTAATCTTCACTTCATCAAATGTATAAATAAAATTCTTGTAGTAATATGTAAACCATATAATACCATTATTTTAAAATCTTACTGTTTTTACGTTATGAATAAGTTGTTATGATCAATACTGATAAAAATACCAAATTTTTATAGGCCAAAACAGCTCTTGGAGATCATTTGCTGAATGTTGGTGTGAATCGAGACAATGTTTCTGAGATTTTGCAGATTTTTATGGAAGCCCACTGTGGACAAACTGAGCTTACTGAAAGCCTGAAGACCAAAGCATTTCAGGCTCACACTCCAGCACAGAAAGCCTCAGTGCTGGCTTTTCTGATCAATGAACTAGCGTGTAGCAAGAGTGTAGTGAGGTAAGCATATGCCCAGTCTTTCCTGGTGATTGCTTTCTGTTTTTAATTTCTACACTCACAAAGTTATATAAAGTATTAAAAATATGTAAGTTACAGACTAGCACAAAGAAGAAAATTAGAATTACACTTAATCTCACCATTCAGAAATGATGACTAATAACTATTTTAATGTATATTTCTTTGCAGTCTTTTGAAAAGAAAATTGGATCATACTGTATATAATCTCAGGAGCTCTGGTGGCATAGTGCCTAAGGCATTTGACTGCTAACCAGAAGTCTGGTGGTTCAAACCCACCAGCCACTCCTTGGAAGGAAGGTTGGGCAATCTACTTCCATAGTAATACTGCCTTGGGAACCCAAGGAAGGGTTGCTATGAGTCGGATCCGACTCGACGGCAGTGAGTTTGGTTTTTTTTTAATATAATCTTGGTAACCTGTTTTGTTTATTTAATAATTTGATTCTTTATTATACTGGAAAAGTATTTTTTTTCTTTGCTATGTTGCCCAAATCCAGCACTATCATAAAATCCAGAAGTTTTCTTTCCTTGAACTCTTTCGAGAACAGAGAAATACCTGATTTTCCTTAGTAGCTGTTCATAGAGCTATCCAGCTACTTTTTATTTTATTATATGCTAATGCAATTTTACATTATTAGTTTATCAGGACTTTCTAAAAAGTATTCGGTCTCACTTAAGATTCAAAGTAAGTCCTTCATTCTAGAATTTTAAGATTTGGTGAACAAATTCATGTTCACATTGTTCTTGGTTTTTATTATTTAAAGATTTTAATTATGTTCCATTTAGTCTTTTATCTTTCTAGGAAGAGGGTAAATCTAAATATTCAGAGGCAGCCATTTCTACCATTTCTGAACATTTTAAGTTTTCTTGTGTATATCTTAGCTATGATATTATATTAAATGGTTTTTCATTTGTTTTTGTTATTCATTGGCAGTCCCTCCCAAAATGTGATAGTATTTAAGTTTTACAATTTCATGAACATATGACACCAAATGGTAATACTGAGTGGCACTTGTATTAAAACACACAAATTCAGTGTAAAGAGTACATATGACTTCTACCTTAGAAGAAGAAATGTACTCTCCAAAGAGCCTAATATTCTCAATTTCTGTTTGGACATTATATACATATATATTGTATGTATATATTGTGTGTACTTATGTAAATATTCATGTATATTCTTATTTACTGCTATGGTTTGGAAATTATCAGATATAATATATATATATATATATATATATATATATATATATATGCAAACCAAAACTTAGAAAGCTATAATTCTGAGGCAATTGGTGAGTATTTTCCTTCTTGCTTTACGGTAGAAAACCAATATAAATTTTTTAATAATACCAATGTTGTATTCATTGAAGAAGTTATAATTTTTCAACATATACGTATATGTATGTATAAACACAAGCATATACATATGTATATACACACAAGATCATTTGAATCATTTTTATTTCAAAAATGCATTGGCTTAATTGGGATTAATCTATGTCTTCTAATAAATTTGTGCATTGGCAGTGAAATCGACAAGAACATTGATTATATGTCAAACTTGAGGAGAGATAAGTGGGTGGTAGAAGGTAAACTTCGCAAGTAAGTGTCCTGTTTTATTAAAATTAACATACTGTTTCCCCTTTGTCAAGTTCCTCAGTAAAATATATAAATTGCAAAGGTAGAAATTAAACTTTATTTATGTAAGAATTAGAAAAGGTCATTAGAGTAGAATTCTACGAAATTAATAAATGTTGTTGTTGTTGTTGTTATATGCCGTCGAGTCGCACCCAACTCATAGCGAGCCCTCCTTGGGTTTCCGAGGTAGAATCACTATGGAAGTATATTGCCCAACCTTCCTTCTGAGGAAGGTAGGTTTGAACTGCCAGCCTTCTGGTTAGCAGTCAAGTGCCTCAGGCACTGCGCTACCAGAGCTCCTAATAAAGGTTGGGTCGAGAATTTGCAATGCACAAAAGATACATTGAGATTCATTGAGCTTGTACTGAGCTTTCTTCAAACTTAGAAGAAAGTCAGTTTATCTTCTTTCAAAAAAGTCAAGCAATCACATTTTTAAGATTTTTGTTGCTTCATATTGTTTCGTCATGAATAAAATCTGTTTGGAACTACCACTTTTTTTCTTAATTGCTTTCTAATTAAAGTTTTGCTTTTGAAGAGAGTCTAATATAGTTAACCTTATTCAACATAAAACTTAATTAGCTTCCTGCCAGGAAGTATAATGCTGAAATTACTCAACTTCCATGCTAGGAGGATAAGAGGATAGTTTCTCTTTAGAAATTTGAATTGAAATGTATTCAGTCTCATAACACGGAATCAGAAATTATCACTTGGCCATTACTAGAGTTAATCTTTTTAGCTTTCTAAGTTTTATTTTTTTGATGTGGTATAATTCCAAAGAGAATATGTAGAATAACTCTTAAAATTTAACACATTCTATAATTTATATAAACATATTTCTTTAATTTTACTAATTCTAATTTGTATTGTTACTGATTTGCTGCTTAATATGGGAGAAATACCATAAGATATTTTTGCTTAAAACTCATGTTACGCTCTTTAAAAAGTGTGTGAAGAAGGTCTTCTTCCATAATCATGATTTTTTCCATCTTTATAGGCTCAGAATCATTCATGCCAAGAAAACAGGCAAAAGAGATGCTTCAGGTGGCATTGATCTTGGGGAGGAACAACATCCCTTGGGCACACCCACTCCAGGACGCAAGCGAAGAAGAAAGGGAGGAGACAGTGATTATGATGATGATGATGATGATGATAGTGACGACCAAGCTGATGAAGATGATGAGGATGAAGAAGATAAAGAAGACAAAAAAGGAAAAAAGACAGATATCTGTGAAGATGAGGTAATCAAATTTAGGTTGATTTTAATAGCTAAAAAACTGAGTAACATATTGAAAAGTAATATTGACTTTGGCGTTAAATGGACATGAATTTGAATTTTGTTTTTGACACTTATCTTTTTTCCTTTATTTGAAAAATGACTATTACAACATCTATCTCATAATGTTTTTGTGATGTTTAAATAAATACTCAATAGAATACCTACACATAGAAAGTGCTTACATTGAATAAAAGAAGTTAAGTTTTTCTTTCTATATAAGTACTTGAGAATTCTCCAAAGATTATGTAGATACTTAATTTCAGATATTTTCTTTCATTCTATTAACGGACTATCTTACATTTTTACCATACTTTGTGCCCTTAAAAGTGTCAGGTTTATTGATACTGATGTACTTTTCTATCACTAGTTTCCAGCCCTAGGTTCTTTCAATCAAAAATTAGTAAGGCACCGAAAGTCTGCTCTCAATATACAGTCTCACTGAAGAATTGCAAAAGGAAACATAATGTATGTCATAGTTATCTAGTGCTGCTATAATAGAAATACCACAAGTAGATAACTTTAACGCAATGACATTTATTATTTGACGGTCTGTTGTTGTTGTTATGTGCCGTCAAGTCAGACCCAACTCATAGCAACCCTTCCTTGGGTTTCCGAGGCAGTATCACTATGGAAGTAGATTGCCCAACCTTCCTTCCAAGGAGTGGCTGGTGGATTTGAACCACCAGCCTTCTGGTTAGCAGTCAAGTGCCTCACTACACTACCAGAGCTCCTTCTCACAGTCTAGGAGGCTGGAAGTCTGAATTCAGGGCACTGGCTCTAGGAAAAAGCTTTCTCTTGTCTTTGAGCTCTGGAGGAAGGTCCCCCTGTCTCCTTTCAATATCTTTGGCCCTAGCATCCCTTGGAGATATCCAGGTGTCTTGTTATCCATCTTCCCCTGGATCTAGGAAGTTCTAAGTGCAGAGACCCTGGGTCCAAAGGACATGCACCACTGCTGGCTCTTCTTTCTTGATGGTAGTCAGGTCCTTCCTCCTCTGCTCACTTATCCCTCTTTTTATCTTTTGTAAAATAAAATGTGATGCAGCCACAACCCAGGGCAACTCCCCTTACATCAGATTAAGGGCTGTGATCTAAGTAAGGGTGTGCACCCTACCCTAATCCCCTTAGAACTGATTGGCTGATTACATCAGATCACTTTATGGAGGATGAGTACATCATTTCATAGCTGACAAATTACATCATTACATAACTGTCAAACCATTGAAAATCATGGCCTATCCAAGTTGACACATATATTTGGGGGATACAATTCAATACATGATAATGTACTAATGTATAACTGCTTTGATAGGGATATTTATAATGTACTAGCCAGGTACAAAAGAAGGGCATTTAGCCTTTCTGAGAAATAAAGCCCTACAAAAGCTTTCTGGCTACAAGCTAGGCTGATTGTTTACCTGGGGAGAAATTTAGGGAAGAATGTTCCGTGCAGAGGAAACAGCATGAAAAATGAACTATATTGTGTTTTAACAGAATTACAAGTGGTTCAGAGTTATTAGAGAGCTTCATACACAACAATGATGAGCTAGAATTTTATGCTTTTTAGGTGATAGGAAGCCATTGAAGAGTTATACGCCCAGGAATGACTTGGTCAAATGTGTTTAGGTGGCTCACTCTGGCAATTCTTTGAAAGGTAGAAATAGATTTGGATCCGGCACTAACAGAAGTGGGGACATCAGTCAAGAGATACTGCAATAATTTAGGTTGGATGTGAGCTGTCTAAAATTGGAGCAGTGCTAGTTGGATGAAGAAAGAGGAAATAATTCAACAGTATTTAAGAGGAAGAGTGGGCAGGACTTGAAGATGAGTTGTGTGGGTTGGTAGAGAGGTAGGATTTATTCCCATCTATCTGACTTGGGAGACTACATGTTCTTGTTGCCATTAACTCAGATAGGGAATATAGGAGAAATAAAATAAATAGATGATTGGAGATAGGGAACAGATATTTGGAGATAGGAAAAGATAATAGGTTTATTTGGACATGTTGAGTTTGAAAACCCTAAGCAAAGTTCAGCAATGGTTGAATATAAGAATAGGAAGCACAAAGAAGAGTTCTGTTTTGAAAATATAGATTTAGAAGTTATTAGCACATAGGTGAGAGTGTAAAATTAGGAAGATGAATGAATTTGCACAGGGGGATTGATTTAGTAAATAGAATATTAGACCAAGGTTGGAACCTCAGGAAACATCCACATTTAAGGGAAACCCACACAGATTCTTGTTCAAGAAGGAACAGTCAGAGAGGTAGGAAACTTCTGTAGTGAGTCAGAGGGCCAAGACCAGCTCTAGGATCGATGATTCACTAGAAGGATTTACAGGATTTAACATGTAGTTGTACTTATGGTTATGATTTATTAGTGAATACAAAGCAACATCAGCAAAGGGAAAAAGTGCATGGAAAGAAGTTCAGAGGAATCAGGTGCAATGTTGAAGAGTCCTTCCCATAGCATCACACAGGCTGGGATTAATTTCCCTTGCCATGAAGTTATGACAACAGGCATGTAATGTTTTCTACCAGGGAAGCTCATTAGACACTCAGAGCCAGGGTTTTTATTTGGGGCAGCTCATGTAGGCATCCTGTGTATGATATGTGCAAAAATTCCAGGTTCCCAAAAGAATAAAAGATGTTCAGCATAAATTACATTGTTTGCATGAAGAGTTTAAGTCCAAAGGGTTAATCTTAATAGTTAGGGTGCTGGGAACCCTTCCAAGATTCAAGTTCCCAGATGCCAACAAAGAGCCAACCTTGTAAGCAGAGCTATCAAAGGATAGCAGTCAGCCCTACTATGTTAACTTTTTTCCTGTATATATAAGAAATCAAGAAAAGTGACGTTTCAAAAAGGAGGAAGTGATAACAGTGTTAAAGCAATAGAGATCAGTGTGATGAGGACTAAAAATGTTTGTTGTATTTGGAAACATAGAATTCATTGGTAACTATGGTGAGTTGCTTGCTGTGGCCCTTCTAGCCATTGTTCTCCATTTTGTGATATATTGTAAATCCTATTATCCATGCCTGTTTGGGGTGGTGTGGTAGTTAAGGTCGATGTCAACTTGACTGGGCAGCTGGGCCAACTTGGCTGGGCAGTTATACCATATAATGACTGGTAATTGCTCTGTGGTGGCATTTGCTATGAGCAACTCAGTGGCTGCTGATTGTTAAAGCCATCCACTTGGTAATTTTTTTTTTGGAGCAGCACAGGTGGGATTTATCTTGAGTCCTGCCTTGCTGGCAGGTGTAACTCAAATCACCACCCTTAGCTTCCTTGAGGGTATACCTATGAATCCTCTGGAAAGGTCACCCTCCTCTTGCTCTGGTTCTGTGTTTTGGCTCATCATCATCTCACCCCTGGATTTGAGACAGCAGCAGTCATCTAATCTGCTCATTGAGGTTTGTCAAACCCTAAGAATTGGGAGGATCCTCCAGACCTACTTACAAACCTGGGACTTGCCAGCCTGCCAGCCTCCTCCACCACTACATGAGATGATCCCTTGGGTGTCTGTGAGTTCTGTGAAGTGTTACAGCGAAACACAGAACCCTGAGACAGGGAGATTACTGAGAAGAAGACGAGTTAATGTCTGAAATGATGGAGTGGCACAGTAGTTTGGACATTTGGAACATCTTTAACCTCCCCCTCATGGGGACTCGCCTTGTGCTGATCTTTCTAAGAGAAATTGTTCAAGTAGTAACCTTTATCAGTGCTTTTTCATTAGGGGGATAGGAGCAGAAGCCAGGATATAATAGGTTGAGAAAAATAGAAAGTGAGAAAACAGAAATGATTATTTCAAGCATTTTGCATCAGACGAAAGTATAGTAGCTAGGGGAAGACAAAGAGTCAAGGATATTTCTGATGTATAAGTATAGAGATTATTTTTGGTTTAAGGGAAAGAAGCAATAAAATGAGACACAACACACAGCTGTTGAGTCAGACCCAACCCATACGACCCCTCTTTGGGTTTCTTAGACGGTATCACTACAGAAGTAGATTGCCCAACCTTCCTTCCGAGGAGTGGCTGGTAGGTTTGAACTGACAGCCTTCTGGTTAGCAGTCAAATGCCTTAGGCACTACTCCACCAGAGCTCCTAAAATGAGACTGGGAGGTTGAAAATTAAAGCGATAAAGAGGATAATTAATAGTATGAAGTCCCTACAGATATTGGAGGAGTTTTGAACAAAGTGAAGGACTAGCCTTGAAGAGAAGGCCAAAGGGAGGGCAAGACCATAGAGGAGTTGTGTTGTGTATGTGTGCCGGTGTTTTTAGGGAACAGCTACCATAAGCCATTGAAGTAGGACTGTATAAAGGGTATATAAATGTTGGACTTAACCTTTCTATGAGAAAAAGTGCTAAAAATATTGATAGGACTGCCGAATGTCACTTGACACACTATGCAGCCAACTGTTCCTTTTGCCCTAAATGCCAGGAGTGTAGTGTAGCTAAGGAAGTTTAGAAAGAGCTCTTTTCCTTATCAATTCAGTGGTACTGGAGAAGTGGAAAAAGAAAGCTTAGAGGTCTGAATTTATTGATGAGATCTGTGAGAATAATACCCAGTCAGGACCAATGATAAATTGTTGTTGTTGTTGTTAGATGTTGTCAAGTCAGCTCTGACTCATAGTGAGCTCATGTACAACAGAACGAAACACTGGCCGGGCCTGCACCATCCTCACCATCCTTGCTTTATCTGAGCCCATCGCTGTAGCCCCTGTGTCAGCCTATCTTGTTGAGGGTCTTCCTCTTTTTTTGCTGACCTTCTACTTTACCAAATGATAGATTACTGAATCAAATTTATGGCTAAATCTTTATTATAATATAGGAGAACTTAAAAGAGAGTGTATGCTACCCAACTCTCTTTATTAAGTAAAAATTTATAAACACAAAGTGTTCTCATTCATCTGCCCCGTCCCAAATGTTATGTTGTAAACTAGAGTAACAAAAAAAATCACTACGGT